GGAAAGCAAATAATATTTGTATTGAAGACATTCTAGCTGAACACAAAAAAATATAAGGGCATTTGAAAAAGCGCAGGAGCCACTTAGGTCTAAACTTAAAACGTACAGGCTTATTACTGTAATCTTTACTAATCAGCCTTTTTCTGGGAGCTTCACGGACATTCCTTTAAATTGTTTACTTATATGTAAACAAAATTTTCAAGATTATTTTGGACATGTATTTGCTTACCGTGCTGCATTTGCAATGACAAGGGATAACAACCCTAATGTTCTTAATCCTGATCGTTTATGTACGACGCTTAAACTTCCTAAACTACTCTCCAGTGAAATTAGTCGAAAAAGGCCTTTTAGGTCACGAAATGAAATAATTGAAAAAATTCCTAAAATGGATTACTTTTTGAAATCTTTTTCGACCTATTTTTTGACAAAAATTATTCTGCAGAACCGTTAAGATGATGATATTTTTTCCTTATGGAAATGATGTAAGAGATTTAGATTCATCAAAGAAGCTGCGTATTGATCCTGAATGTCAAAGGATGAGTAATGTTAAATTAAATAACACAGATAAGGAAAATTTTGTGGTTTCAATGATTCAATTAAACATCAAAAGAAGTTAGTAATTTTCGCTAAATCAGTTACACACTTAATAGTTTTAATTAAAATTTAATGTGAACAAAGATTTAATTGTCTTGATTTTTAGTTTGTAAAATGTATAGAAAAGTTGGTATATATATGAATGCCACCAAGTGAAAACACGAAAATAAAATTTTAAATTTTCATTATACTGTCTTAAATTCAATATTGTGATAAATCATATATAAATTAGATTACTATAGTATTAGAACTAACTGAATTTATTAAAAAAAAAACTTAATGTAAAAATCTTTGACCGTTTACAATTTAATAATATCAAACTTGTTGAAATCAGACTATTTACAAACATGTTTTCTATTAAATTTTCCGAATAAAAATGTATATTGAAAAGTCTACCGTTATTATTACTCGATCAAAGAATACTATCAAGTTGTTACGTAGGAATCACATATGGGAATAGGTCTCGCTGTATACTATTCATAGCATATTTCTCATTGAAGTGTAATTTCAATTATCCTCCGTTTACTTGGGTTATAATCTAATCAGTGGTCGTTTCCCCTTTTCCCCTGTAGCTGTCGAAGAGCAGAGTTAGACTTTCGATAATAGCGATGGAAGATCATCGGTACTTAAGATAAATTTCGAGTTCTTAGCTGATAATTCCTTTCTCCATCCCTTTTTTTTTTTTTTTTTTTACTAGCCAGCCGAATATAGATCAAGTGGTCTTTGCACTACTTAGCCTCAGAGCCACGAGCACCATCATTGTCCATATACTGTTGTGTATTACCTTAAGCTGCCTTTAAAAGCTTCTATATAACTGATCAAGTGGTTTTTGCGTTATTATGACCTCCGAGCCACGATCATTTTTCATTCCTCATACATGACGGCTCTTGGTTTCTCAACTGCGCTTTTCAAGCGGTAGTTCAATCTGTTATATTTGGGTGGGAGGGATGGACAGCCTAATAATTCAAGGCGGGCAATAGCGAAACCGAAAGGTAGAGACTTTCCCAATTCAAATTCACAAATTCTTGCGACATTTATTATGCAGTAACCATATCGATTGTTCTTGATTATTACATATACACATTTTCTTGTGCACGTGTTCACGTGTCTCATGCTCATATGACCAGATTCGCTGTTCTGTTGGCTCCGTTACTTCGTTGACGAGCTAATCAAAACTTAATAATTTCATATAATTATACAAGTTACTCTGGTTATATCGATACTTTTCAAAACAAAGAAATTGTCCAATATGTTCAGATATTGGTTTAATCAGAAACATTTTTATGTTAGGTATATATATGAGTGCCGCAAAGAGAAAACCTGCGCTTTTTCAAATGCCCTTATATTTTTTTGTGTTCAGCTAGAATGTCTTCAATACAAATATTATTTGCTTTCC